CACATCCACAGCCTTTCCCTCGTCCACTAGGCGGGTCACCTGGTCATAGAAGGAGATCAGGTTGGTCAAGCAGGACCTGCCTTCCATAAACCCGTGCTGGCTGGGCCTGACGCCCTCGTTGTCCCGCACCTGCCTTGTGAGCGCCCTCAAGATGAACCACTCCATAATCTTTCCCGGCACCAAGGTCAGGCTGACAGGCCTGTAGTTCCCCAGATCCTCCTTCCGGCCCTTCTTGTAGATGGGCGTCACATTTGCTAACTTCCAGTCAACTGGGACCTCCCCGGTTAGCCAGGACTGCTGATAAATGATGGAAAGTGGTTTGGTGAGCCCTTCTGCCAGCTCCCTCAGTACCCTTGGGTGGATCCCATGTGGCCCCATAGACTCGTGTGTGTCCAAGTGGTGTAGCAGGTCGCTAACCATTTCCCCTTGGATTATGGGGGCTTCATTCTGCTCCCTGTCTTCCAGCTTAGGGGGATGGGTACCCTGAGAACAACTGGTCTTACTATTAAAGACTGAGGCAAAGAAGGCATTAAGTACCTCAGCCTTTTCCTCAGCCTTTGTTGCTGTGTTTCCCCCCACATCCAATAAAGGATGGAGGTTCTCCTTAGCCCTCCTTTTGTTGCTAATGTATTTATAGAAATACTTTTTATTGTCTTTTACGGCAGTAGCCACATTAAGTTCTAGTTGGGCTTTGGCCCTTCTAGTTTTCTCTGTGCATAACCTCACGACATCCTTGTAGTCCTCCTGAGTGGCCTGCCCCTTCTTCCAAAGGTCATAAACTCTCTTTTTTTTCCTGATTTCCGACCCAAGCTCTCTGTTCAGCCAGGCTGGTTTTCTTCCTCCCTGGCTCGTCTTTCGGTATGTGACGAAATGACGCTTTGTTTCTCAGAAAAGAGGAAATACAGTAGTGTTACCGTTAATACTTGTTGTTAGTTCTGTAGCAGAGCTTAGGCTTTCCATCAAAGCTGTTCTTTTCTCAAATCTGTTATTCTGTTGACAGATAACCTGTTTTCCTAATTTCTTGTCCAAGTCCGGAGAGGTTTTAAGACTTAACAGTAAAATTGTATTGTATGCCTAATCTTGAAGTTTTACATATTTTGTACCCTTTTGTACTGAAGAAAAGTTTCAGTAAAGGACAATCTTCCTAATATATAATGAATATCAACAGATTCTGGCTTTCTGTAGTCCAGAGGGAGTAGGAAATTGAGGGGAAATCTGTCTTTAAGTCACTGCCCTCAACCATACACATAAGAGGCAGGCAGCTAAGATCTCAGAGTGCACTTAACTTTCTGTGTAGTACAGGAATATTGCTTATTTTAGCTTCAAACACTTAAGTTTTATGGACCAAAATTCTTTGAATTGTAACAAATAGTAAAATGGGATTCTATTACATCTATGGCACAGTGGTGCTGTGTTTTTCAGATACAGTGTTTGGCTAAGGAAATTCAGTCACATTGTTGCTTGGATGGTTTTCAGATCTCTTATACAGGTTGTGTTTACTAACACGGTATGTATATGCCATAAATGTGTAATAAGCTTGCAGAATTTAAACCTATCAGGAAAAGGAAAGGTAGTGACTTCTTCATTAGCAAACTATGGCCAGTGGCCATTCAGAAAGAATGACAGAGCTAATGATAATTAAAAGAAATATTAGATAATTAGATAATAAATTAAGAGTACTATTAGATTGAGAAGTGATAGAAATCACAATTTTTGCCTTCATTGATTTCTCTAATTGTTTTATAGCAATTACAAGAAGTGAAGCTCTTAGACGTTCATTAATATTTACTGCTCAATTTTTCTAATTTGTTTATCGATTTTGTTTGTCCTAACTTTGTCCAGAGTAATGGAAAAAATGGAGATAATGTGGAAATCAATAGCTCTCTTCTAACTGTGTGATAGCTAGCCATTTGAGATGTCTGGAATGCAGGACAGGATTTTAGATAAAGATGGCCATGTAGCCTTTATCCAGAGGTAGTGTAAAAGAAGAGAAGGTAAAAGCACTATCTTATCTGCTCTCCAGCTTTGTGGCGGAATCTAGGGATTATTCAGAGGATGTGCTGAAAGAACAATTAGAGAGGTAAAAGAAGAATTAATAAAGGGCAATTATGGGAAGCATCTGAAGGACTGGATGGTTGATGGGATGTTTGTTTCTGTCAATTAAAGCTCTAAATGGAAAATTCAGCTTAGGCTTGAAAGGATAATACCATTCAAAAAAACAGGAAATATTTAAGGTACGTGGTAAGATGAAAATGTTAGTAGTATGATGTCCCATACACATGGACAATCAGGAACATCAAGTCTGTCCATCATTCTTCTTTCCCTCTACAGTGCAGTAATGCAGACTTCAAATCTGTGTGCTTCACAAATTGAATCAACGATTTTATCCAATGAGTATGAAATAATGAACATTTTTAATCTCGTAAGAGCTACTCTGGTAGCTCTTCAGCAGTTTACCAGACTTCTAGAGCAGAAAGTTTGGTTATTCAGTCTCTTGCAATGGATCTGTGTATTTTGGAGAAATCCTATTTACTGGTGTGGCCCATTGCAACAAATAAAAGTTGTCACAGCTGCCAATGCATCAGAGCTGGGAGGAACCCTAGTGCTGCACAAAGACAGTGTTCTTAGCAGATCTAAGTCCCTGTAGATCTCTTGTTTGTTTTTGTAGATCTGTGGGGTTCAACAGCCAAGTTTCTTCCCAGTTGTATGTTGCATCAGAAGAGTAAACTATAAGGCCATAAGCCTTAGTGAGTGTGTGGCGTTTTTGTTGCAACTTTCCTGATTGTCTCATTTTTTTTATTTCCACACAGGTTTGAGTGTTGTAACTTTGATTTCAGAATTTAAAAAAAAAAAGTGTGTGTGAAATACACACACAGAGTGTGTATACATACAGAGTGCAGTATTTTTGTGAAAGGAAATAATCTGATTTCTCAGAATTTAGAACAGAAGAACAATATGAACTGAAAAAAAGAGAAAATTTGTTTTTTTACTTTTCTTAGATATGCACATCTTGAGATGATCCTCACAGAAACAAGGAGGCAAGCAATAAACCGGTTGAAAACATAGTTTAAAATAACTATATATAATCTCTGTTACCTTCCCCTGAATGAGATAGAGGAGTTTCAGTAGCCTGTACAGGCTGACAGGTTAAGATATAAAATTACAATGACGGTCTTTCTTAGCGTTTTCTACTGTTATTCTGAGGCAGACTTCACAAGCGTTTCATTTTCCTACAATTATATTTTCAATAAAGCTAGCTAATTTCTAAAGCTAGCTGAATATCCTTCTTGTTTTGAATAGTTTGATGGGCTTCCAGTGCTGTGCATTTTCATATTCCAGAGTGGTGTTGGAGTGTTTACAGTGTCACTACAAAACATGCAGATTATGGTTGCAAACTTCTTCTTAGACAGTGCAGCGCTTGCACATCTTCTCACAAGTGTTACGCTTCTGAGGCGGTGCTAACTGTAAAGTGAGGGGAGAAGGAAGGTGTCTGTTGGGCCGGTTAGCAGGAGAGCTGAGTATTGAAGAAGCAGAATTAGAAAGCGAAGCAGAGGTGTTCAGTAGGAGGTGGGAGGAGGGAGCAAGGTCTTGGGTGTTTCCTAAAGGAGAGGTGTGCTTTTCTATTGGAGTCAAAGATGGGAAGTAAAGTAATAATGGTGGTAAGACCAGCATTTATTCGTGTAACAAATGTCCTATTTGCTTAGTCTAGAAACCTCCCCACCTTTTCCCCCTTGTTGTTTAGTACATGTACCTTTATAATTTTTTAATGATTGGAAGCCTTTATTTTAAAAAGATTTTAGGTTTTGAAGCGATGAAGATTGATGCTTTAGATATAAAACAAATGTCAGCTAATTAAATTTTATTCAGGAGTTTGTTTTCAAACTCTTTTATTGCCTACTGTCTTTCTGAATTTGGTTGAAGAAAACCTTTTATGAACTTAATCTGCTTGCTTTTATTTCCTATCCACAGGCATGTAGGTTAACATACATTCATATTAAATTAATCTCCTGAATTTTGTTCAGTGGTCTGAGTTCTCTGTTGCTTCATATTTTCATCGTTTCTCACTGCACATTTGCCATTCTAATTAATTTCTCATCAGACTGTTCCTTTTTAAAATTGGAATGTTATGAAATTTCTAATTTGCTGCCTTTTCATCTTTTGACATTTGCTGTAGAAATTTTAGCACTTTTCCCATTTGATTTAATTTTAAGAACTTTCTTAACATTTTAATGTAGTTCTCCTTTTATGGCTATTTCTAATTATAAACTCATAAAAAATTAGCTTACAATATTAAATGTTTTGATGTAAACTACTGTGTGATTTCACCTGCTTCCTTTAAGGAAAAAAGCCCTGGTTTTCCTCTTAAGTTCATTGACCTACTCAAGTGCAGATTTGGACCACAAAGAAGCTAATATAAGCATTTTCCCTAGCTTAAAGAAATAAAAATAATGGACATTAATTTCCTCACTTTTTAATATGGAGATCTTAAGACCTATTAATATCTTTTTTTTAAATACACTTCTTACTCATTCTTTGAGTGTGTCTTGGGTATTTTGAAAGTGGGTCTTCATATTTCATTAATTTAAAATAACGGAAAACAGTTTACTTTCCAGTTTTCTGATTAAATTGCATGGTGGTCTTGTTTGTCTTAATCGGGAGAGAGCAAAACCCAGTTACTTCCCTGTTATTCCTAAGATGTAAAAGCTTTTAGTTCTTTTTCTCTGTTGAAAGAACCTGCTCTTAAAATATCTCTAAATGCACTGTTTGCTATATAACAGTCTCCCCATCACAATATAGTCTTAGAATTTGCTACCTGTATATGCTACAATCTTTATATAAAACATAAATATGAACATTATTTTCACATTTTACAGAATGCATAGCAGGTGTGGGCTTCAATTTGCAGGTTGAGTGACTGCAGCTGAAAGGTTGGATTACTTGCTGAGGGCCTTACAAAGATTTTTCTCACACTTTCAGTGTTAGATAATAGGTTTCACTGGAGGAGGACAGCATAAAATGAGAGTGGCTCTATCCACTGACAGCTCATGACGCCTTCTCAGAGGTGATGGGGCGGTTTGCAGTGTTGGGGTGGGCTGGAGACACTGTCAGTGATCACAAGACTCAAGTGCCTAAGAGCTGGAAGGAGTCTGGGGAACAGCAACATCTGGAGTGTTCTGGTACAAAGGGGGTTAGGGATGCTTTTCTAGCTGCCCCGTTTCAATTCAGTGGCCTGCCTCCTTCAAAATGCACATGTCCAAATGGTGCATGCTTTTCCTTTCAGTCTCAATTTGAAACTACCACCTGGGCCATAGCTTTGAATCCTAAACAAGCCATGTTGCAATCTTTTAAGAAAACTCCTGGATGCCAATCCTGCCACCCTAAAATGAGAACTGAAAACGTAGGAACGTAAAGCAGTTATTTCTGACTTTGATCACAACTAATAAGATTTGGAGAATCCAATTTCTGAAGTGTCTGAGATGCTCTCAATTTACAGCTGAATTTCTTCACAGTACAAGGTCATGCTGTGCCTGTTCTTTTACTGTTGCAGCTGACGTGTGGTAAGATGGATAGATATTTTTACCTGGGCGTATTTTGGGAGCTATGAAATTGGTGGTGTTTGTTGAATATTTTGACCCAAGTAAATGCAAAATATTACTAATAAATTAAATTTACAAGTGAGACAACATTATATAGTATTGTTCAAATTTACCTAGGTTTTTGTTGCATTTACTTACAGTGTACTTGTTAATCCTTTGCGAAACAGAAATATGCTTTACTATCTTAAAGTCAAGAAGAAATGACTGGCGGAAAATTTGCCCCTGCTTATGCATTCTCTTATAATTTGGTTTTAATTTTACTTCTCTACAGTAATACAATGCAAACTAATAAACGTCTCTCTTATTTTTTAGTTTGGGAATACATGCTACTGCAATTCAGTTCTTCAGGCACTTTATTTTTGTCGACCATTTCGAGACAAAGTCTTAGCATACAAGAGTCAACCAAGAAAAAAAGAGAATCTCCTTACATGCTTAGCTGATCTCTTCCACAGTATAGCCACCCAGAAGAAAAAAGTTGGAGTAATACCTCCCAAAAAATTTATAACAAGATTACGAAAAGAAAATGGTAACTTTTTTTTATTTTTCTTGTGTAATAATCATAGCAATTATGATTTAATTCTGAAGTTGACATAGTGGAATGCCTACATATTTGTTACGTGTGGAAAGTGTTCTTGGTCCTGCAGTATAAAGAAGAGATGACCCTAGGATAAGGGTGTAACCCTGGAGCTGTTCTGAGAGAGAATCCTCCTCGTCTGTCTCTCTTCATGTAGAACTGAGTGTATTGTCAGTGGCTGCTTATGAAATTGCTTGCTAATTTTGCTTCTTGATGAATTGTGTTTTTATAATCAAAATTCACTGTAACGCTTTTGTTCTGTGTTTAAAAAAACATTACTATTTGAATGCAGGAATCAGTCTCCCAAACTGAGTGTGTAGAAAGGTTGTTAAGACTTCCCTCCAAGAATCTACCTTAAAAACCCACAAATTTTTAAATTCATTTAGAATTTATGCAATACTTAGCTTGACCTACTTTTTAAAGGTTTAATGAATTTTAAAATCACCAAGTAGTTTTGGCTAATTGTTTTTAGTGTAATTGATATCCTAAATTTCAAGAGATTTCCAGAGATTGATAACATTTCTTGTTTCTTATCTGCAGGGCTAATTGGTCAAAACGTTTTAGAAAATAATTTGATGTTAAAATATAAATGAAACTTTGTAATCTACTACTCAATTTGGATACTTTTATAAAAATATAAAATTTTTCTAAAAAATAACCACTAGATTTAAATAAACTGTATGAGGTACCATTTAACACCGCTGCAACAGACATGTTCATACTGTTGTAATCTCTCCAAGACTATATATGCAGACTAAAAAAGTGTTTAAATGTTATGATGACCATCTCTGTAGTAAAAACAAGAAATAAAATACTACAACATTCCTAATTTGAAGTGATCCCTCCAGCAAACGCACACCATGAGTTGTAATAATATTGTTAAAAAAAAGCTCTTGGGTAATGTACAATCTCTTACCTATGCGGAATAGAAAACTGTCATTCAGTTCTTTGGTAAGTATACTTGAGTAAGTATGCTTGTGTGTTGATGCATTTACAGAAATAGTTCATTATGTCAATGAATGTTGACCAACTATGACAAACGTGGAGAATGGTTCAAATGGAAAGCAGAAAGTAAACCACAGGAGCCATTAAGTTCTTTGTAGAAAGTGTTCTTTTTAATGCTTAATTATGTCATGACACTAAAATGCTAAGCAGGAGAAAGCAATTGGAAAATCCTCGTTAGAGAAATCAGATGTGAAAGTTCAGCGTTTACTGGCTTTTGGGGTCTCTCTTAATGATGATACTCTCACCTTTTCTACAAATAAATGGCTAAATTGTCAGGCAGCGATTACATGGACATCATATATGCTATTAAGTGCTTATTGTAAAGGTATAGAATTTTGAGCTTTAAAAAAGAGTTAATTAACGAATCAGGTAGGTATACAACACCGATCTAGATTCTGTTCCAGTCAGTATCCAGCTATACCAGGATGATGACTGAGAACGTAATCTTAATGTCTTCCAGACTACAATGCTGCTATTCCATCTTTGTTTTCAAAGTCTGAATACAACATACATATGTTAATGACCTTAAAGCTTAACTGGCTGGGAAGCAGATGCTGGGTTGAAGTCAGCTGAAGGTATACTGTTATGTTTGCTTAAATTTCTTCTAATCATAAAATGGACAATGTGTAGCTTTCATTCTGTTGTACTTAATGCTAATTTACTGACTGGGCACATAGCCCTGAGAGGTCCATGATGTAACACTGTGAAGAATCTCTGAAGTGTTTCACCTCAAGAGACTTGTAGCTCCTGTTCTGCCTTGACTTACTTGATTAAATAAAGACCTTACAGTTAGCTAGATTCAGAGTTGAACTTACTCTTACTTCTCAAAAATAGTGTAGTAGTTCACTAAATAAACTACTTGGTTCATACTCTTGGCTGACCTATTGCGCTACTTAACCTCGCCAAATGATCTAGATTAGCATCAAACTCCTCCCTACTTTGCTAATAGCTCCGGGTTTTTTTTTTCTATTTGAAGTTTACTCCTGGATGCTATCAAGTGAATGACAGTAAAGCTTCCGTGTAGTCCCTGTATAGACTTCAAAATTTAAGCTTCACTGAGTATCTTTTTCATTCATCTTTCCAGTCCTGGGAACTATCCCTCCACTGAAGGCCAGTCTCTTAGTATATTCTTGGGCTACAAGCAAATTGCAAGTTGTAATTAATTGAAGTAATTGCACATTAAAAGACTTGAATGATATTAGCCAGACATATAGAATGCTTTTTAAATTGGCAGGTATATTTCCTTGTAACAATTCCTGGTCAGAGAGAGAAGAAGTAACTATTACTAAATCTGATTCAATGCCTTTATGGTTTTCTCACATTCCTAATGTGAGTATTTGTAGCAGCAGAGGATTTCTCAGGTTGATATCCCAAGGGACTACAATAAACATGTTTTCAGGGTAGTACCAATTTGAACATAAACAAGGGAGTAGACTTGTAAGAAAGAGTTCAACTTTATGCTTTAATATGTATCATTACTATACATCACATGTATGTGCCAGTGAAACTATTCCCCTTCCACTGAATTAATCGTAAAACTATTATGCTTAGAAATGTTGACAAACTGAGGACATGAAGCAGAAAGCATAGTGAATCCATTATATCTATCGAATAACTCCACCAGTAATAAAGGTGCCACATATACCAATCTCCAGAAGCAATATTTCAGATCTTGAAAGACAGATCTGTTTATTACTTGAAGTCCTAATTTGAAACTTGTTTGCTCTTGCTGTGGCTAGAACTTTAGGCTAATTTGACATGGCATCTACAAATACTACCTTACTTAAAGAGCTTTGAGAAAGAAAATTATTGTTTAAAAATATCAGTATCTTTAAGTTTTTAGTCTTAATCTTATTTTCATTGCTAGTATTGATGACACTGTGCTTATGACAGAGCAACAGTGGACTTAAAACCCTAAAAGTGAAAATAAATAAGGCAATGTTCTGTGCATTTATTTTTCATGTTCTTCCTGTGATAGAACATACAGATGATGAAACATTTCCTGTCATAAGTTCTCAGTTCATTTCTGGAAAATATCAACATCTAATGCCATTTGAGATGCCCTGTGTTATCCAAGACATTGACCTAAGCTTGGCAGAGATAGCATAGCCCCTGTAGGAGATCCAAATCGTCATGGACGATTATCGTCATTATCTGGAGGCTGGACAGGATAAGCTATAACATTTCAGGTGGCATTGTATGTACACCTATGTTTAGGTAGTTGAATCATGCCCTAGTTTTCTTGCAGAATGGTTTGCACTTCTGTTAATTCTGATCAGCTGAGAGATTTCTGTGAATGTAAGCTGGCTTGCCCTCCCCTCTTTCCACCCCCTATACTTTTGGCTTAGTTTATGAAGTACGCATTTTGGGCTGGTGTTGTATTGTCATGAATGATTCAAGACGTGAAGTAAAGACTGGTTTTGAAATTTGACTTCTTTTAAAAACTTTTTTGTAGTATAGCGGTAACCGATTAATTAAAAAATCTTCTGTTGTTTTATCTTGTAGAGCTTTTTGATAACTACATGCAGCAGGATGCACATGAGTTCTTAAACTATCTATTAAATACAATTGCGGATATCTTGCAAGAGGAAAGAAAACAAGAGAAACAAAATGGTCGCCTACCAAATGGCAACATCGACAATGAAAATAACAGCCCACCAGACCCAACCTGGGTTCATGAAATCTTTCAGGGAACATTAACTAATGAAACCAGATGTCTTACGTGTGAAACTGTAAGTCTGTGTATACTTCGTAAAATGAATTCTTCCATGTTTCATGATTCATGTATCTCAACAGACTAACATACTAAATTAGTTTCTTTCTTTAGAAATCTTACATTCGTATGAACATTTGCATTTTTTCTTTGTTAGTGAGAAAATTCCAGCAGCTGATGCATGAATTGTAGGAAAAGGCTTTTGGCCAATATTAGGAAAATGCTGAATTGAATTTTTGTCAGTGTGATCACAATGAACTTCAAAATTTAGATTAGAAAATTCTAAATTGATGTTTTCCTAAGAGCAATAAAGCCTGCTACTTGGGGATGTGGACTTCTCAAATTTAATGTCTTAATAACCAAATGTCATGTTTAGTGATACGTTCCATACATAAGTATTCTGAATCAGTTTCCACCGATTTCTAGTTTTTAAATTTAAAGCCATTGAAATCAAGATACTATGGTTGGCTTTTGGCACTGAGACAGTAGACTGGGATTCTCAAAGAACATAACTTAATGTGCAGGAGAAGTAATCCTTTCCTAAATGTCTGTCCACAGGAATTCTTCTAATACTAGACCCTGAGAAATAAACTCCTGCTTTGAGTAAGCTGTACTAAAATTTTCTTTGAGAATAGCTCTACAATAAGAGAAAGCATATATTTCAGAAAAACTTACAATTGAATTTTACCTGCTTGAGAAAGAGAAAAAGCAGCACAATTTGAGAATTACAGTAATTCAGTCATGGTCTATGCCTTAGATATTGTAAAAAGCTAAATTACTGTATTTTTTGTATGACTCTTCATACCTATTTTCCTTAATTAGGTAATGCACATATTTACGCATGATGTTGGAAAGGAGGAATTAATTGGATTAAATCTATATATTTCACATGTAACTTTCTCTGTCTTCTAGAAATACCCACCTCTCTTCTATTTCAAAGAAAATAGCTTCCTAATGTCATATGTAATGTAACTGCAGACTGTAGATCAGTAGGTCATGGTATTTTGAGTAATTTAGGTGCTGATTTCTAGCTACCATATTTTCTTTCCTGGTAGATTTCCCCTCCCTAATAACTATTTCATGGCAACTGTCAACTGCTTCTCTTTTAGTTCTTGAACAGATTATTTTTCTTCTTGAAACATGAGTTTAGCCTAGTCTCTTAACATGACTGACATCATTACCTTTCCTCACTATGTTATAGTGAATCACTGCTGTCAGGATTTTGATATAGGTACAGTCCTTAATACAATTTTAAAATGCTGATATGCTGATATGCCAACGTATTTTATTAATTATCAGGCCTATCACAATTTTGAGAGTTCTACTAATATTGCTCAGTTCTATTTTCTGTTAGTTATCGCTGAACAGGATACACCGTGTCTGTTTGCCACTGTGCCTCCTTGGACAGTTGAATTTTAAATTCAGTGTTCTAATACACATTGTTTTTTAGTATATTAGGGCCTTTGTTTTCCAAGCCCTAATAATCTGGAAATTATTTTATCAGGTTCTGTCCATTCAATATATCAGCTTGGGTCTAATTAAAACACAGTGACCTGAAAATGGGCAGTTAGAAACACAGTTACACACATTAAGTAATATTACTGTGAATAGCATCTTATTTTCAAATATAGTGAGCATATATGATTGTTTTAATGTTTGTTGGAAGCTGTTGGCATTTAGAGTCTTTCTGTGTTTAGAAATATAACTTAAAATGTCAGGAGTACTTGGATATAGCTCATGTAGAAGATTACACAGCAATAGTGGATGAATTAGTGCTTCTTAATTGTAAAACAATAACCTTAGTATATTTTTTATTTAAATTTGGAATTTAATGCATACTTAAATATAAAGCATAATATATCTTTGCTTTAAGTGAGAATGTTCGTATTCTAACTGGCCAAACCTACTCAATGTTCCTAAAATCAGCATGGCAAGATTTTATTTTAATTTCAATTGTCCTAATTATAGAAAAGAGCTTCTTTCCAGGACACACTCATTAGCCCATCTTTAAGATAAAAAATTAACTGACTAAAGGTTTGTCCTCAGTTTAAGTATGGACAGTGGAATATAATGAACATAGGTATGATTCTTTAACAAAGATTTGTGTCACGGGTCAAGCCACACTATAAAATGAGTAAGTTACAAAATGGATTGTAAGTTGTCTTTACATGCTTTTAATGTGATTTCTTGTTATGATGCTTTCCTGCTTCCTTGATAGAGGTGGTATGACGAAGTGAATGTTACAGATTTTTGTGGCTAATTGATAAAAATGATCTAGAAGTTCATTGGTTTTACAGATTTCTCTCACAATTTAAGGAAAGAATAACAGTAAACCAGAAAATAACGTAATTGACTTCAAGATTAAATTTGAAATGGCTAAATGTGGGCAGTACTTCCACAGAGAAAAATAGGAATTTGTCTTGGGTCAAAAGCACCAAACATATTGATAATGTTTTTCTCCAGCTGATGGTCTTGCTCTTGTGTTCAAATGACTCTCTACAAGGCATAAAATTCTTTGGCTCAATTCTGCTTTGGACTGAGAGGAGGCAATAAGGAAAATCTCGGTGGTCTCTCTTACGGGAGTACTATAGAAGGTTTAACTATGCCCTACTTTTGTTTTCTCTCTTTTTTTTTGAAACCAAGATAAATCATGCCCTTTGTTTCAGCCTCATTTAAAAATAGTTTCTGTCTTAGCACATATGGGAGCCTACAGTTGCAAAAGCTTTTTTGTCAGTGAGCTGGCTCACATTGCTAGTGAAATTCCAGACTGAAAGAAATACAGATTCCATGAGTGTTAGCCTTCTGAGTTTTCTGTTCTGTGTGGCGTTGGCCATCAGAGTACAGCTGAGCTGTTTGAGTGCAGATTATGTCCTTAATATGACAACAGTAGACCATCGCCTTTAGCCAGAATGTTGGAACACCCAAATTCTTCACTTTTATTCATGTGCTCCTGTTAGGAGCACTCAGATGGCTTTTTGAACACATCAGGGCTTGATTCTGCAAGTGATGAGGTTTTCTGACCGTGTCTATGTTTTTTTTTATTCTATAGATGATTGAAATATATAGCATTGGTGACTTTAGTCTAAGGAACTTAGTGATGTTTATTTGAACCAGAACCTCTACGGAAGGGGGCGGGGGCGCTGGTTAGAGTAGAGTGTGACTTTTTTATCATTTTTCTGTTTTTTTAATTAAAACTGTATGAGTTAATTTGCTAAAAAAAGTACTGTTCAAATACTAATGTTCAAAAAATCTTAAAAATTAAGAATAACAGTTTCTAAATTATCAACACAGATGGAAAAAATCCACTTAGCTATTCTTCCAATAAAGCCTTTAATGGTTCCTCATGATCCTAAGTGCACAATGGACTGGCTAACCTGAGGGAGGTTCTTTAAGGCAGTATTATCAGTATTATCACTAAGAATGGAAGAATTCCTTTTGCGAACTTCTGGTTTCAGTACCGATCTCTTTTTAACGAAGTACAACACATCCCTTTCCTCTTCTCCATCTCCTCCCTGCCCTTAGAGCTTCTGCGTGGGATAAAGCTGCCTGTGAAATCTTTATTGTTTCATGGAATTTTCTTTGATTAGACCGAGAGAGGAAGAATTATCTAATTGCATGTCTGAATAACACTGATCACATGACTCCTTAATTCCAGCTGTCCTAGCTGAAGACTGCAGCAGAGTATTTTCTAGAACTGTTTTTTTTTTCCCCGAGCTGTTCTTAATCCCTAGGCTAAGATGATTTCCGCCAGGTTGTTAGTGTTATAAACTCAAGTTTGATAATTCCAAAAGTAGTTTGCAATGGGATATTTTGAAGAATTGTCCAACACAACTAAACCACAGTACATCCCTGAAGACAGGACATGTGCAGCACACTGAAGATGCAGGTGGCTTTTTTTTTCCCCACCCTGAAAACATATTGGAAGTTTTCCATATATGTTCTGTGATCTCTTTATATAAACATTACACTTCAGCATCTGAATGATGTAGTAGATGTGATGTATACTGGCATAGTGACATTTTTTGTACATGTACACTTACTCTTGGAAAGATTAGGTACAGAAGAGTGGGAGGAATCCTTGCCCAGTCCTCTCACAGATATTAACAGAAGCTTTTAACTTAATTTCCTAAGTTTTTGGATTTGCCCTATGGTATTCATTCTCAAAAACCAGTCTTTACCACCTGTATATTTCTTTTTATTCTCCATGTATGCTGCCCTTAGGAACTGCATGCTTTTCATCTCTTGATAATCAGAGAACAACTTTCCAAATTTATTTTTATTCTGGAAACATAAAAAGGGAGCATAAATCTCATACGTTTTAAAGATCAACTTACATTAGTTCTCCTGTAGCTGTTTAACTTTTCCTGCTTTCAATCAAGAAACTGCAGCCAGGCATCTTTTCTAAAAGCATTTACTTTTGTACCTAGGAGTCATAAAAGGCAGAGGACGTTCTCATCAGTGGCATTGAGTATCTCTAGATACAGAGAGGAAACACCAGCAGACAAAAGTTAAGGTGGCAGATTGCTATTTCCTAAACCTTTTAATAACATAGTTGATTTTCAGGGCAGCTGTGGATTTCATCCATCACCATTTTTCAGGATTTGTGGTGGAATTTATTCTCTGCTTCTAGGAATTTCTTTTTAATTTTGTTATTCTTGCATTGTTGAGCTGAAATCACAGCATAATGACAACCAGCATTATATACCCCCACAGACACATATGCACTTCTCCCTTCCTGAACAAAATTAGAAACAGATCTAGCAAATCTCTGAAATAGAAAAGCCACTTGTAACAATTTTTAAAAGGCTGTTATAAGATAAAAGATACATTCTGTCAATAGAAAATGGTACTGAAAAACAGAGGTAAATTAGTATAACTTGTTTAATGATAATCTATTGGGTCTTTTTTCATGCAGATAAGCAGCAAAGATGAAGACTTCTTAGACCTTTCAGTTGATGTGGAGCAGAATACTTCAATCACTCATTGTTTAAGGTAGATGCAAAAGTCTGAATTTTCGTAATTTGTCTTTTATCTGTTACCTAGAAAGCAGGAATTAAAACTAAAAGCTCACAAACTTAGCAAATTCTAGTTTATGCAAACTTAGGAGTATAAAATTATGTTTATATTGTACATGTTTATATGTATATTTCAGGTAAGAAACTAGTATGTATAGCATTTCTGTTTTTTTTTTTTTTATTCAGGGGTTTCAGCAATACAGAAACTCTGTGCAGTGAATACAAATATTACTGTGAAGAATGTCGCAGTAAGCAAGAAGCACATAAAAGGTACATCAGACTCAGGGAGGGAAAAAGATAACCCATGCATTTAATGAAAATAATCTATTTCCTTCTGTGTGTGTATGAGGCAGGGGGAGAACATTCTTTTTCCCTTAATTTTTCTCACTCTTCTTCCAATTAAGAGTAACTTGGTTGCATTCCTCTTGCTTGAATTCAATGAGCCTACTTCCATGAGTAATGAGAATCCACATAAAGCATTTTGGTACTCCTTTGTTCATTATTTATTTTACAAATGAGGAAAAGAATGGTCTTAAGACCAAAAATAAGTTAAAAAGACAAGTTGAAACGAACTGCTGGTGACTAATCAAAGATTACGGGTCATGATGAAAAGTCACTGATTTCATGTGACTTTCAAAACTTGGTTTTGTCTTGATAATAAAATAATTTTTCCAATTGCTGTAAGAATCAGTTTGATAGCACTTTTTTTCTGATTCAGTCAGAATCACAGAATCATAGAATAGTTTGGGTTGGAAGGGACCTCTAAAGGTCATCTAGTCCAACCCCCCTTCTGTAGGCAGGGACAGCTTCAACTGGATTAGGTCGCTCAGAGCCCCGTCCAACCTGGCCTTGAATGTTTCCAGGGATGGGGCATCCACCACCTCTCTGGGCAACCTGTGCCAGTGTTTCACCACCCTCAGCGTAAAAAATTTCTTCCTTCTATCTAGTCTAAATCTACCCCCCTTTAGTTTAAAGCCATTCCCCCTTGTCCTGTCACAACAGGCCCTGCTAAAAAGTTTGCCGCCATCTTTTTTATAAGCCCCCTTTAAGATGGCGTAATGAGGCTTGTAACTTTTGTTAACTGAGTTTCTGGTTTCTTAAAAGTCTGTAGTTAGTTGTGCTAAACTTCTGCTTAACAGTGCGCCTGAAAAGCATCAGAAGCTCCGTGGAAGCTTGAAATTCATTACGTTTAAAGACAATTCTTGTCTGCCTAATAATTCTTCTAGTCTTACTTACACCTTTGAAAAACCTCAGATTTTGTGTACTGTGAGGTATTTATTATCTGAGAAAGTATTTGGTTGAAGGGGTGGGAACACTGACATGCTCTACTGGTTATACCGCTGATTCTGGTTATTTGGTTTACCATAGATTTCAGCACATGGCTTTTGGCATATCTCATCGGCAAAGTCTGCCTTCACACGTTGCCTAAGCTTACTAATTGGTGTGTATTAGAGGGTTGTGAAGCCAGGTCTGTCCTGTTGTTTTCTGTTGCCTTAGCTATTTTTCTGTGTGGGAGGTAATGTGATCCCTGACCGATATAAGCTGTGTTGACATAAACTTGTACTGTAGGCACGGCCATATTGGCAAAACACAGCTTTTATTGTTTATAGTTTGCTTTTCATGTGGGGCTTAAGTTCAGTTTCACTACAGTCATAGTTTTCTTCCATCTCTATAACATGGAGCTTATCTGTGATAGTGTCTACTCAACTAGCAAAGGTGGTGTACTGAATTTCTTCACCAGTGAAAGAGTTCATGTTATCAAACACAGTTGCATTGTAAGAAGAGGACTTCATCTGGAAAAAAGAAATAGAGCAGAAATTATATCCATATCTCAGTAATACAATAAAAATTTAACTCTCCCTAAAAATAGTTGCTTCTGTCACCTTTCTGCCCTTCTCCTGCTTGTTTCATTTCCTAGTTCCCTTGCGGGCCATGGAGAAAATTTGAGTATAGCAAGGTTTCCTATAGGTTACTATCAGTCTAAGTTTAATAAGAAAAGGGAAGGAAGGTGAGTTTTCAAGGATTTTGTCCCCAGCCCCATATTTTTTGAAAAAGGATTGTCTTGTACAAATGTATTTCCTGACATTCTGAAAATATGGTCGTAGTAGACATGTCTGAAACCTGGGCTGTGTTGTTGAGACTTCTGAGCTACCTTTCGGGGCTGAAGGCAGTTTGAAAAATTCAGCATAGTGCTGATCTAAGGCAACTAGCTGTGCCAAGAAGCAAAGCAGTCTAGTTTGGTTGCTCTGCTAGTATGGGGAAATCTGCTGCCCAGAGAGTGGAAGTCTGTGTTTGCTGCCAGGCCAGCTGTGGTTGGCTGATGAGGATTTGTAGGCACTGGTGCGAGATCTCAATACCTCAAACTAGGGAAAGGGGCCAGTGAGCCCTCAATAAAACTAGATTATCACTTTCTGTCTTTGACTGCCATAAAATAATGCTGCAACATTTGTACAGAATGATTGTGCTAGAGCACAGCATTATCTTGTTTGGATGGCACGAGGTAAGGTGAATAACAGTGGGCTATTTGTATCCCTTGGCAATGTTAAATGAATGGCTTGATAGGAAAACTTGGAGTAATACATATGCAAAAAAGTGGTGTAACAAAGCTTATTTTAAAAAGCTTTTTTGCCTTGACTAGTTTACTGAGAAATTCAACTGGAACAGGATCTCTGGAACAACTTTGTTTTAATACCTCCACTGTATACCAAGTGGGATCTAGGTTTTGCTTTTGGGAACTCAGGAAAGCTATGGGGAGGTATGTTTAAAAATTGAATTCTGTGCTATGCAGTCATTGTGTCTAAATTATTATGTGGATTCATCATGGCTGTTATTATATATTATAGCTTATTATTTTAAATACATTTGCAATTCTATCAATTGTTAAAATCCACTTTCAGTTTAGCAACACAGGACAGGTTCAATATTTGTTAAACACCTGATTATTTGAGCTTCTTTTAATGCTTGCAAAATTTTTTAAAGACTTCAGTAAGACAGGTTTCCTGTTTGTTGATATCAACTGAATGTTTTGGCTGGATATTGGACATACTGTTGGTTTGGGTTTTTTTTCAGGATGAAAGTAAAAAAGCTGCCTATGATTCTAGCTCTCCATTTGAAGAGATTTAAATACATGGATCAGCTGCATCGATACACAAAACTCTCTTATAGAGTAGTTTTTCCTTTAGAGCTTCGTTTATTTAACACCTCAGGAGATGCCACCAATCCTGACAGAATGTATGACCTTGTTGCTGTGGTAGTTCATTGTGGAAGGTAATAACTATTTTACACGAGGTATTTTTGTGTAAGTTTAACTGTGTTTAAAAAACAAAACACCCAGTATCACATAACTCTAATAGCATTTAAAGACCTCTTAAAAGAAAAGTTTCTTAGGAAAGAAAGTGTTGTGGGGAGATGCTACCAATCCTGACAGAACATACGGCTTTCTTGCCATGATAATTCTTTGTGGAAAGTGATAACAGTGTATTTCACATGACGGGTCTTTGCATGAACTTAACTACGTTTAAAAAAACCCACAAAACACCCAGTATCATACAACTGTAATAACATTTAAAGATCATTTTTTTAAAAAGTTTCTTAGGAAGGAAAGCATTATAGAACAGATTCCTTTATAAAGCATTTCCTTTGGGGTGGGTTTTTTTTAAGGCTTGAGCAATATTTTCTGAAGTATATCCATAAATTATGAGTTTTGTTGATTACTTTGTTTCCTTGCTTTCAAAATATGACTGTTAGATTTGTATTTGATTTTGCTGTATTCAACAAATGTTCTTATGGTTTCATGTCTTAAAATCAGGGCTGCTCTACAAACTGCTGATTGATAAAAGCCCTGAAGTGGAAAATGATGATTTAACATCTAGAATCATAGAATAATTTACATTGTGAGGTCAACTACTTAAAGCTCAAAGCAGGGCTAACTTTGACATTAGATTAGGTTGCACTGGGCTCAGTTTCATGACTAGGAATGCTGATTTCACTGCCTCTTTGGGCAATTTGTTCCAGTCCATCGATGTTCTTACAGTGATTTCCCCCCCAGTATCTGGTCAGAATTTCCTTTGTTGCAGTTTGTGACCACTGCTTCTTGTCCTTTCGCTGTGCATTTCTGAGAAGAGCCTGGCTCTCATTTCTTTATAACTCTTCCCTTTTGGGTAGTAGAAGACATCAGCTGGATTCCTCATTTAGTCTTCTCCAGGCTGAATAAAGCCAGCTCCCTCAGCCTCTCTTCATCCATCTGGTGCTGTAGCCCTCTGACAAATGTAGTGGCCTGGCACTGGACTTCCTCCAGTTTACCAGTCTCTCCCTTAAACTGACAAGGTCATGTTTGGAATCTCATGTCCAGTTCTGGGTCGCAGAATGCAGAATGGCGGGGATTATCACTTCACTGGCTGGCTCTACTCTTTCAGTACAACCCCGCATACGCTCAGCCCTGTCACCAAAATGATGCGCTGCTGGCTAACAGCTCATCTTGTTGACCTCTTGGGCCCACCTAGCCAGTTGTTTTGCAGCTGGTGCTGTTGGATGGAGTTAGTCTGGCACAAGACTTTGCATTCGTACTTGTTAAACTTCTTGAGGTTCTTATCAGCCCATTCTTCCAACTTTTTCAAGTCCCTCAAAATGGCAGGTCTGCCCTCTAGTTGCCAGTTACTGCCCTTTGTTCCACCCCCATTCCCGTTCCTGCCTAGGTGGACCTAGGATTAGAGTAGGGATAAGATGACTAGATCTCAAGTTGGCCAGGACAGTTTTGGAAAATAAGCCTTTGTGCCATAGTCTTCTGGGACACTCTCGTTCTGGATTTTAGGGAAAACAGAACCTGTCCATTTCTGACCATTCTGTCCAATTCTGACCATTTCTTTCTCCTTCATTCAAGCTGCAGTCATGGAAATGTACCCATTCTCAGAGCTGTGGAAGGAGATGAACCCTGTTTTCGTTGGGTTATATGACTTGGTACACAGACATGTCTCTCACAGATGGCAACCTTCCTTCCCTGATCTAGACATAAAAATTGTATGAGTGCTTTTAGCCAGTTAAGACAGCTCCAGAACTGCTTTAACTAGTTGTCCACTTTCAGCTGTAAGGTTCAGCTGCTTCAGAAAGTGTATTATTTCTTTACTTGAAATCTGATTAGAAATAGTGGGGTTTTTTTCTGTCGTAGTTGTGGAGAAATTTCTTGTCTGCTATACGCTGAAGAGCTGTGGATTATAACAGTTTTAATTTAATTGGGAGCCCTTCTCATTGCTGTGAGGATTTGTGAGACTTCTAAACTGTCAGTTTAATTCAGTTTTTGTTTACAGTGGACCAGATAAAGACATTCCTGATTGAGACTGTAAATGAACATCAGCTTTTTCTTTCTGAAGATCAGAAATAGTTTGGGATCTGTTCTGTCCCTATGAAACATCAGAATGTTTTCTTGAATGCACTTCTCTGTCTTTCTTCTTTTTAAATTTCATTTATATTTTCAATGCCTGTGCTGCTTATTCCTCATTTGAAATTGTAATCCTTTTTTTAGCACAATATTAAATGTAGAGATAAGTAAGACCTCATTATGAAGATGATATAAGTGGAGGGGAAAAAAGAAAAGAAACATCCAAACAGAAATTGTACTAGTGGCCATTTTAATTACTGTTAAGTATTGCTTTTCTACAAGAAAAAAAAAAATGAAATACGTTTGTACATACATGTGTGTTATTGTCTGTGTTCTTTTCTAATTTTATTTTACAGTGGCCCTAACAGAGGACATTATATTGCAATAGTGAAGAGTCATGATTTTTGGTTGCTTTTTGATGATGATATTGTTGAGGTAAGCTTTGTGTAACCCTGGACGTTTTTCTCATACCAACCAGAGCGCATGCACCCTCCTTGTGTATATGATTACTTAAAGTAAAAGGACTGGTATGCTAATGAAGAGAGGGTTCAACCCCAGTCCAAATGAGCAATAACTGTGAGTGCAGAGCTGCGCCTTACAATTTGACTATACGATACTTTGAATTGCATTTTGGGTTTTATGCTTCTTAAAAGAAGCTTCTTCGTTTATGGCCACTGTCTTTCACCTTTGTTTAATAAGCTATTCCTGTGGCCAGAAGACATGGCAAATGAGGATATAGATAAATTGGTTTTACTGCAGTTCTTTTCTGAGGGCAATTTTTTGGAGCAAGCTGTTTGTTCATATTTTCTAGGAGCGTATGATTTAATGGAATGGATCAGTCTGGTAGTCTGTTTTATTGAGTATCCTGGATTGTTACAGACAAAGGTGTAACAAATATCAAAATAGGAAGAAACTTCAGATTTTTGAGATTTTGCCCTGAAATTTAAAAGTTAATCCCTGAAACAGGAGCCTTTTGCCTCTGGTGGTATTCTTGCTAATATTAGCCGTGCTTCCAGGAATTATTATTATTAAAAAAAAAAAAAAAAGGGTTTCTAACTAATTTCTTGGAACAGCAGGATTCCCCTTCACCAGTTTTGACTTTGTCATCTTTCTGTTTCATCAGTTATCTTTTATTCTTTATTGAGAGACAGAGCAAAAACTGCTGGTGTCCTTATATCGTCTCAGGTTTTTTGCTTGTTCTGTCATCTTCCTTTTTTCCCCCTTGTCTGTGCTTATGCATGAACAGAAGTATGATTGTGCTGTCCACGTCCTTTTCCTGACTTTATTTAAATTAATTAAATCTATAAAATGAATAATTTACATTTTCCTTACAAAACACAAGAACTGCATAATTGAAAAGAAGAAAAATGAGTGAGACAGGTATTGGACTTTGTTGTGGTTTAACCCCAGCCGGCAACTAAGCACCACACAGCCACTCGCTCGCTTCCCCCCCGGTGGGATGGGGGAGAGAATTGGAAGGGCAAAAGTGAGAAAACTCATGGGTTGAGATAAAGACAGTTTAATGGGTAAAGCAAAAGCCGCGCACACAAGCAAAGCAAAACAGGAATTAATTCACCACTTCCCATCGGCAGGCAGGTGTGCAGCCATCTCCAGGAAGGCAGGGCTCCATCACACGTAACGGGTACTTGGGAAGACAAACGCTATAACTCCAAATGTCCCCCCTTCCTTCTTCTTCCCCCAGCTTTATATGCTGAACATGACGTCATACGGTGTGGGATATCCCTTTGGTCAGTTGGGGTCAGCTGTCCCGGCTGTGTCCCCTCCCAACTTCTTGTGCACCCCCAGCCTACTCGCTGGTGGGGTGGTGTGAGGAGCAGCAAAGGCCTTGACTCTGTGTAAGCACTGCTCAGCAGG